GAGTGTCATATTTTACTAGGAAGATAATAAAGAAACTAGTTCAGGACCTTGGTTCTATTTTCTTCAAATAATTCCATTATACACTGAAATATTTAACATATTCTTTACGTCTCACCAAAAACTTATTGTTGTTTTAATTCAACACATCAGATCTGTCTTATAATTAAAATGATTAAATTTTTTATAAACATCAAATAAACTGTATGAAATTATAACATTAACAGAAGAACAACAAGGTTTTAGGTCGGGAAGATCATGCACTGACGATATATTTATAATGAGAAACTAAAATATATCTATGTTTCGTGGACCTTAAGAAGGCTTTTGACAGTGTCAAATTCAAGGACGTTATCCACTTATTGTACGCAAGAGAGATACGTCTAGGAATAGTCAAAATGATCGAAACTATCTACCAAAACAACAATAAAAGTGAACGTAGAAGAAGAACTAACCGACCCTATTGAAGCTGGCAATGGGATAAGACAGGGAGATTACCTGAGTCCTCTATTATTCAACTTGATTATCGATAACATAATAAAAAAAGTAAGAATTAAAAAAGGATACCAAATGAGAGAAAAACGACTTAAAATAATCTGCTATGCAGACGACGCAATACTACTCTCTCAAAGTGAAGACGATTTACAATGTATGGTACATCGTTAACAGGCCTTTTAGGCCCATTGCTGGATGGATAATTTCCATCGTATTCTATTTTTAGCTAACAGCTTCCAATCTCTGATTCCCATCTTTCTGGCATCTTCCATCACTACATCTCTCCATTTCTTTCTTGGTCTTCCTCTCTTTTTTTGCCCTCAGGTACTTTCCAAGCAATATTCTTGACTAGTCTATTACCTTGCATTCTTTCTAGATGACCGAGCAATTCTAGTCTACGTTTTTTCACCGCTTTTGTTATTCTAGGGTTAGCATACAAATGGTATACTTCTGCATTAGTTCATCTTCTTCATTCTGCCTCTACTACTTTTCCACCATATATTCTGCGAAATATATTTCTTTCCCATGCTTCCAATGTGTTCTGTATGGTTTTGTTCATAGTCCATGTCTCGCCAACGTATAGCATAGTGGGTCTAATAAAATTAGCCAGAAAATTTAAAATGTTAATTTCTCCAAAAAAGACAAAATGCACGGTTACAATAGCAAATTTACCAAGATTAAATTGGGGCTGGAAGGTCAGATAACAGAACAAGTGATAGAGTTTAAATATCTAGTTAGTTTAAATATCTATAAACATCACATTATCTAGCTACGGACAGCTCGAAAATGAAGTGGAAGATCAAGTGAATAGAGCAAATATGCGGCTCTATTTAATCTAATAGCGGCTGCCTGAATCAAGCAATATGGAGAAATAAAAATAGCGGAAAAGAAGTGAAAGGCAGAATTTACAAAACAGTTATCAGACCAATAATGATATACGCGATAGAAACATGATATGTCACAAACAGGACAAAGAGGATGTTGACAACAGCAGAAATGAATTGTTTAGAAAACAATACCAACGTTTCCCATTTTATTATACGCCATCAGGGCTATAATTGTTTGATTTTCATTTTTATGATGCTTGTTCGAAATAATCAACTCACTCTCGAAAACAAGACTAAACCAGCTGGAAACCCTTATTTTGTACTTAGAAATATTATATCAAAATACAAATTCCGAAAAATTTCTATTTGAATTAAATTTGAATATAAAAATATAAATTTGTATATTTAGATTTGAATATAAATTGTTCTAAAGAGAATTTGAACAAAGAATCATTACTGTCAACATCACTTGCGTCACAAAGAGTTTATTTTCCTTGATGCTTTCCACATGGTGTAAGTTTGTAATATCTTTATGAGATTTACAGAACTTGTGAGTCAGTGACAAATAAAAAGAATACAAGATTGGGATAACTATAAAGTGTCTTAAAATATCGTGGCAATGTTTGTGTTTTGATAGTCATCGTTATAAAAACATACATTGTATGAAAATTTATTAAAGGGATTGCAATAAATATTTTTCTGACAACTTTTAGTGTGAATATAAAATAATAGTATTTCTTCAGCAAAATGTGAAGTATTTTTAAGAATATCAGAACAACAGTTCTTATTGTTCTCAGTCATAATTTTATTCTGCAATGAGAGTTAAAAATATAAACACGCATTTTACGAGAGGAAATGAAATTGTTTGAAGACAAAAAAGTAGGTATGTAACTTCCATATCATGATCATTGGAAAGCAGATGACCCATTTAAGTTCCGGTATAGATATTCATCCATTCTTCTTCTAAATGTGCCTATCTTTTAAATATGTTGTCGACCATTGACCCATCTTATTCTATTCACAGCAGCTCGAAATAGATCAGTTGACGTAAGACCAGTCCACTTCCTAAGATTGGCCAGCCAGGATATACGTCTACGTCCAGAGTCTCTCTTACCCTCAATCTTGCCTTGTAGAATCAACTGTAGAAGTCGATATTTATCATTACGCATGATGTGGCCGAAGTAAGCCAATTTTAGCAACACTGTATCGCCATCATATCTAATATTGTTTATAAGTTGGCCATTTACAGCAATCCCATCTTCTGAATCCCCATTCATCCATTGGTCATCCTTTTTGCGGTGGTATAGATATTCTTCCACTGGTCGTCCTGTTTGTGATTTTTCTGCTGGTATACTTCTTTCACTTTTCTCTTCTTGTTCTTATTTGAATAATTACTTTTAATTCTTAAAATGTTTTTGTGGGCTTTTTTGATTAATATGTGTTCAGTTTAATGATCTCCATATTCCTTTGTGAAATTTTTTTAGGCGTGGGGGTTAGCGAGCGTGGGGAGCTATGGTTCTGGAGTTTTCAAAATCAGTTTTCTGATCTGTATGAAGATGGTGTTGACCTATACCATAGAAACTTAGAGCTGAAATTTAATCGGACTTACGAACAGAAATTTAATGTTCATAAATCCTATTTTAGATTCTACGATTTGTTTGACCTATATACCTTCTATAAACCAAGAATTATCTGAGAAGCCATAGAAATTGAAAAATGCCAAATTTTCTCAATTAAAGAGATGGCGGCATCCGCTTGCCTTTGACATGGAGACCTTTTATAAAGAAAATATCGTCCGCTCCACCGACATTCAAAATCTTACCCTCAGAAATGTTCGCGCCAATCCCCATGCTAACCTCATGCCAACCTCCACCCAATCCACATCACCATCGACGGTATAGATGAACCGTACGATATTCTCAGCAGCAGTAATGGGAGACTAAAATCTCGGAACCCCTGAATAAGACATCAGTGAGGATGTAGAAAGCTCGGTGTAGTGATAATCGACGCGGTTCAACCCAAAAGACTGTTGAGTTTAATAAGAATTATGTAATAGTATTATTCTTCATAATGTAAGATTATACTAGAAGAAAAAATAGAGTTAGTAGAACATTTATTTAAATACGTTATTGATTCTTGACATTCTACACGTGGTAATACGTTTTAATACTGGAATCAGACTATATTATAGTCTGATTATATGACCTCATAGTCACTATAAGAACATGTTTACTGTACAATTGAAACATAATTGAATAAAAAAAAGACTACATTGGAGCATTGTGCAAATGTATTTTACAACAATTTTGAACATGTGTTCATTGTTATTTTTGAGAAAACGAAATAACAGAATAGAAAATTTAATGCCGTAACGATGTGAGATAAATTCTTGTAGTAATAATATTTAAACATATATTATAATATGTCATTCAGTGTTATGATAGCTAACAAAAAAGAGTTTTTACAATAAAAAATATTGCTAGTAAAAAACAAAATACCGACTGTATTTTCCTTTTGTTTTCAAAGTTCACGGTCTCTCGACGGGGAAGTTGGAATAACCTTTTTTACACTTGAGTGTGCGTCCATGCGTGCCTTGCAGATATTTTATTAATATTATGCATCACATTAATGTACAAGGAATTCATTTATGCCCATATATCATTTAAAGCATATTGAGGAAATGTGGGCGAAGGTTCTCGATTTAATTTGTTTGTTTGTTAAGACAAAGTGCGGAAATCGCAGATAGCATTTCATCATTTTGTTTGTATATATACAGGATTGACCGATATTATTTGGGCAACAGAACAAAGTGATGTTGACAAAATAATAATGGGTGAGGAAAACTCACAACCCACTATAGTACCAACCGAAGATGGTGGTCAAACAAATTAAATACCGATGAACAAGTAAGATAAGGAAAATAAAAAAAAATAGATAAAATAGTCGAGGAAGAGAAGGTACCACAACAATGGCAAACAGGTATCACTACATTGATATTTATTGATAAACGAGGATATAAGACAAAATGCTTTATTCAGGACCTAATGTGATGGGAGAAGATGATAGATGAATAGTCAATATTAAAAAAGTGAGTAGAATAAAGACTACCAGGTAGAACTCAAAAGGGATGGCGAGACAGCAACTCGTTGGAATCGTAAATATTATTATACGTAATCCAGTAGATACAAGTTACTTAGCGTAACAAGAAGAAGAATTCATAATATAATAGACCAAATAATAGAATATTCATAATTTAAAAAAATAAAGCACTAAAAAGTATCGTTTTAATAGAAGGTCCCAACCTGTAGGGACTTGCATGCCCATCAGACTCCAATACTCATCAGGCTATCATCGAAATGCTTGCCATATGGCAGTTCTGGGTACTCTTTGTTAACCATTTTCCACCCACTCCTTAATGTAAGTCTCTCCCAATTGCTTCCATCTTTCTCTATCTTGCGCCAATCTAATCCACTATTTGCCTGCCTCTTATGTCATCTACACATCTTTTTTTTAAGATGGGTAGTCCTGGGTACAACGATCCTTATATGAAATCTTCCCCCTCCTATGCAGGATAGCGTGAGGCGCTATATTCCCGCTATCGTCTTAAACTGAGATCGATTTGCTGGTGCTTGCCCGGGAGCACAGGTCCCAAATTAAAGATGTTAAAACATAAATTCAACAATGTTTTTCAGAGTCGTAAGGCCAACTGAAGTAGCAACTAGAAACTTCAGCACATCAGAAAAAAACAACTTCAAAGTAACAGTATGTGGAGCTTCTGGCGATATTGATCAATCCCTTTCTTTGTATTTGAAGATCAACCCTTTGGTCAGCCAGTTGTCTTTGTACGATCTTGGACACACTCCTGGAGCAGCTGTTGATTTGTCTCATATTGAGACTGCAGCTAAAGTAAAGGGATTCAATGGTCCTGAATGTCTAAAGGATGCTTTGAAAAACGCTGACGTAATTATTATTCCAGCTGGTATACTCAGAAAATCTGGTATGACCAGAGACGATTTGTTATATCACTACCAACCCTGTCAACTCTGCTGTTCCTATTGCCTGTGAAGTACTCAAAAAGGCTGGCAAACTCGACCAAACGTGTATTTGGTATCTCCACCTTGGACATTGTCCTCGCTAACGCCTTCATCGCAGAAGCCAAAGGACTTAACCCCAAAGATGTTAATGGTCCCGTTATCGGAGATCACTCTGGCGTCACTATCATTCCCCTAATCTTCATCTTCAATCACTCCTTCATTATCATTCCCCGCTGACCAACTTAAGCTTTGACCACAAGGATACAAGAAGCTGGTACTGAGGTAGTAAAATCCAAAGCTGGAGTTGGATCCGCAACGCTCTCCATGATATAGACCGTTGATCGATTTGCCAACTCCCTTCTCAGAGTTTTGAAAGGAGAATCAAACGCTATCGAACCGTCCGCGTCCGCCTACGTCCAATCCGACGTTACCGAAGCTTCATACTTCTCCATACCTCTAGTTTAAGACAAGAACAGACTCCAGAAGAACTTGGGTCTTGGAAAACTCAGCGATTTCGAACAAGATTTACTCAAGAAAGCACTCCCCGAACTTAAGAAGAACGTCGAAATAGTTAGCACTCTGAAAACACGAAATCTTGAATGCTTTGGATACGTCTTAGAGGAACTAAGTACGTCAATGAACGTAAGCCAATGCAGGAAAAGAATATTCTGGCTTACTAACTTGCGAGATTAGGTCTTAGCTTGCACAAATGAATATTAAAAAGAGTCGATCAAAGAAAGCTTAGAGCAATAGTTTAAATAGTAAATGAGTAACAGAATAAATGCCAAATTCTATTAATTTTAATAAAAATAGTTTAACAGAACTTATATAACAATCCAACAGATTTAAATGTAAATTTATAGTGTTATATTCAACTTTTTCTAGCTTGCTCGAATTAAACTAAAAATCATCCTGTATAAACGCGGAAGGTGTGGTGAAGAATTATTATTACTTAATATGTAGCATATTAATAATAGCGCCGCGATAATTAACTTTTTTTTAGTGGATGGATAAAAGCCAGGATTTTTTGCCTGTTACACTTACATATTTATCCTTATTGGAAAATAAATAGTCCTACATCGTTAAGAATTCATAAAATATAAGAAAAATATCTGTTAAAGTATGCAATAACACTTGTTGATATCGTATATCTTTTTTTATATTATTGAATGTTTATTTTAACTTAAGAATTTCATCACGTTCAAATACTAGTAATTTACCTTGAAAGAAAAAATATAAGATAAACAATTTTTTGAAACAGCATATTTTTTACTACCTTTAATGGATATAAGCCACAATTGAAGACCTTGGGACCAGAAGGGGACATGCCACCAAACAATACTTTGGAGAAAATTTTAAACTTATTTTTAAGTTGAAGATTGGGCATCGAAGTGGGACAAGAAACTCTGTATATATTGTTGTTTGCAGATGATCAGGTGGTGGTTGCAACCGATGAGGAAGATATAAATTATATGAATCGAAAATGATTTGAGGAATATACCAAATGGGGGCTTACTGTAAACATAAGCAAAACAGAATATTTAAAAATTTGAGGAAATACCACAGATCTGAGGCTTGAAAACGCAATCATAAAAGGTTGCAACCAGTATAAATATCTAGGAAGCATCATATCAGCAGATGGCAGAGTTAAGATAGATGTACAAAACCGAATAACCCAAGAGAAAAAATGCATCCGAATACTGAATTCATTACTGTGGTCTAATAAAATAAAGATGCATACCAAACTTCGTGTATACAGAGCAATTGTAGAACCAATTACCACATATGGTGCCGAATGTTGGACGATGACAAAGCATGAACGAGATAAAGTAGACGTTGTGGAAATGGATTATCTTAGAAGGTCATGTCGAGTATCCAGAATGGAAAGAATCAGTAATGAGGAAATACGAAACCGTACAGGAATTAGAGATACTCTTTCAGATAGAATACAAGGAAGGCAATTACAATGGTATGGTCACGTGATGAGAATGGAGGAGGAGCGGTGGCCAAAGAAAGCCTTAATGTATGTTCCGCCAGAAAGAAGGAAAAGGGGAAGACAACCAAATTCCTGGAGAAGAGAAATTACAAAAACAATACAATCTAGAGGCTTAGAAGAGGGAGATTGGAGAGATAGGTAAAGATGGAGGCTGAAATGCGGGAAGCGGCAATCGTCGTAGGACCACGGGACCATTTTTCTCGGAAGGTACACAATAAACGTAACATAAATGTTTATTTAACGGTTTTTGAGTTTCTGAAAAAATATTAGGATTATTCCCTTTTGTATAAAAAAATATATTCTAAAAAATGAACATAAAATGTAACAATAAAAAAGTCTGTTGTCAATATTTTCCGTATCTTAAAAGTCGTCCAAATGTTCAATGTCTTCCAATGGTTCATTATCAGCATCTGGTAGAATCTGTTGGCAAGCACCAATTTCTTCATAAAATTTTAGGAAAGCTGACGGAATAAACTATAAGAGCTGGAAAATATTTTCAATTATTTTTCTGTTTAGTGGAATAGGCCCACTGTATTTTGATTTCAAATCCCTGGAAAGTAAAATTGACTTCCTCATACCTTACTTCCCAATATTAACTGCCTTATAAGCCTTCATTTAGAAGATGTTTGATATACATTTTGTTAGGTGGTTCAGATAAAAGCTTGAGGCTTGATATTTTGAAAAAGTTAACTTTTTCTTTCTCATCTGTATGGTTTTTTTTTTGGTAATTTCGCTTTGTAATTTTTTAAAAGAAAAAAAAAATCAGATTGTTTCAATACAATCGCCTCAAAGCAGTTTTGTTTATATACAACCATTTCGTCATTGCCCCCTCCTCCAGCTGTTTGATTACTTTTATCAACTCTGTTTTATTACCTGATCGTGGACTATATTCTGTTTTCTGTTGCAGATACCTTTTCTGTTGATATTTTCCTCTTGCACGACATTTTCTAATATAATATTAAACAGTATGCATGATAATGGATTACCTTGTTGTACTACTTCCTTGACATGTAATCTTTATCGTCTCTTCCCTGTCAATAACTATTTTCTTCGTTGCGGTCCAATTATTTTTCTACCACCCTCTAAGTCATTTTCGTACAATAAAATTATAAAAATAGGTCTAGCTTATGATTAACATGTTCTTGACATCCTAAGATCGTGTTCTTAGAATTCACTAGTAAAAATCTCCATCCTTTGCTGTTGTCTTACTTTTCCTTTCACATTGCTCATTTCCATTCAACTCTATCGTTCAAGTGTCTCTTTTTTGCTTAAATATCTTGTTCAAACTTTGACTTATTTCACATACTTATACGAGTATGTGTTCAACTAATAAAAAATTGTAAAATTCCGAAATTGTGAAAAATATGGTGTTAAGAAAATTGTTCACTGTTTGTGAAAAATATGCTGTATTAATGCTGACAGTACTATACCTATATATATATATATATATATATATATATATATATATATATATATATATATATATATATATATATATATATATATATATAACACTGTTTTTGATGGGTTGGAGTCAATAAAAGGGGCTATTTGTTGACTATTTTTTACTCGAGCTTTCAATTGTGATTACAATTTTTATCAAGAGCTTCTAAAAAATACAAAATGTCTTACAAAGTTGAACTAGAAATAAAAAATTTTTTGTTAACTCACCAAATAAAATTAGTTTTTTATATAAAACTACTGCTTACATTGCTTTACCAAAACTAAATATCCTATAGACAAATTAGATCAAACTAATGTAGTATACAGCATTGTTTGTACTCAGTGTGAAGCTGAGTATATTGGTGAGACTGGAAGAAATCTCTCTAATCGCATTATTTCTCACAAGAGTGATTGTAGAATTAAGAAACCATCTTGTGCTTTGGCAGAGCATGTAATAGACAAAGACCATATTATGGATTTTGATAATATTAAAATTTTATGTAATGAAAGTAATAAATTTAAAAGAACTTTTTTGGAAATGGTTTGTATTAGCAAAAGTGATAATAATTTAAACAAAAGGTCAGAAATTCAAAATTTAAGCAAAATTTATAATTATATAATTTCTATTTAATTTATGCAGTCAGTAAAATATCACATTTTGAATTTTCCATGTATTTGTTACATTTTTCCGGGCATCTATCAATGGTGAATAAATCTTCTTCTTTTTTGTTACTAAACAAAGAAGAATTTTTAAACAAAATTTTATTTTTGACAATATGTCAAAAATAAAAATTTTTAAGTTAGTATTTATGACATTTTAGGCTGGTTGTAGCTATTCTATTTTTGTTTATAATTTCAATTTTTTTTCTTAAGAAACTTCATCTAAATTTTTCAGAGAAACATATATTAGAATAAGACATTTTTTTTATTAATATTTTTTGTATTTATTATGTAAGCAGTAGTTTTATATAAAAAACTAATTTTATTTGGTGAGTTAACAAAAAATTTTTTATTTCTAGTTCAACTTTGTAAGACATTTTGTATTTTTTAGAAGCTCTTGATAAAAATTGTAATCACAATTGAAAGCTCGAGTAAAAAATAGTCAACAAATAGCCCCTTTTATTGACTCCAACCATCAAAAACAGTGTTATATTTTTTCCAAACGAGTCACAAGTACTTCTTTTTTCTTACTCTTATATATATATATATATATATATATATATATATATATATATATATATATATATATATCGGTTTTAAAACGTTCTCCTACGTCTTCCGATGCCTAGTCGCCATTCACTTCGGTTCATCCAAAGGTCTTCATCTAATTCTCTTTCTCTCATACTTCGATTTATGCCTTCTCTCCAACTAAGGCGGGGTCTTCCTCTTTTTCGTCTACCATGAGGGGTCCACGTTAGGATTTGTTTCGGGAGTCGTTCTTCGGACATTCTTTGTACGTGTCCATACCATCTAAGCTGTTTGGTACTAATGTCATCTACTATTGTGTGTTTCACATTCATTATTTCCCTAATTCTGTTGTTGGTTACCCTTTCTAATCTTGATTTTCCTGCTGAGCGCCTCCAGAAATCCATTTCTGTTGCTTCAAGTTTTCTCTTGTATCTTTCTTTTATTTGCCATACTTCACTGCTGTAAGTGATTATACTCTTAACAATTGTATTGTATATTCTGTTTGTTGTTGTTTGATATTAC